AGCAGTCAAGTGCCTTAGCCACTATGCTACCAGAGAGGGTTCCCAAGACTGTAAATCTTTACAAAAGCAGACTGCCTCATCTTTCTCCTGGGGAACAGCTGGTGGGTTTGAACTGCCAACTGTCTGGCTGGCAGACAAATGCCTTACCAACTACACCACTGGAGCTTCTTGTCAAAAGACCAATAAGGATAAAATCTAGTCCAAATCAAACCTGTTGCCCTGGAGTCTACTCCTACTCATAGCAATCCTATGGGAGAGAGCAGAACTATGCTATAAGGTTTCCAAGGCTGTAATATTTACAGAAGCAGAATATGCCAAATCATTCTCCCACAGAGTAGTTGGTGGTTTCAAACTGCTGACATTTTGGTTAGCAGCCAAGCACTTTAACCACTACACCACCAGGGCTCTTGATAAAATCTAGTAATACCTCTAAGTCTGACAGAAAACTGGAGGGAGGGAAGAAACCAGCCTTAATAAATAAAGAAAAAAATGTATCTAGAAAATGGGAAAATACAAAGGTCCACGTAACAAGGCTATCTAGAGGCTCAAGACACCCACTCCTGGGATCTGCAGCCCAGGCCTTCCTAGCACCACACTCATATTCCCAACCGCCTACTTGACATTTCCACTTGGACGTATCATAGCAAGTCTGGGATTCCTAGGAAACAACCAACATTCTTATTTCCTTCCTGTCACGTGCATCATCACCTCTCCAGTTATCCATGCCAAGTTCTAGAAAAGTCCTCCACGATTCCTCTTTTTCTTACACTCCACAACTAAATCAATAAATAATCCATCTGCTTCACCCCCAAAATATATCTCAAAACTTCCCATGCCCCTCCAGCCCCACTGCCACCACCATCACCAGAATCACCATCAGTATTCTTCACTTTTTGGTCCCATAAACCCAAAAAGGATTTCAACAAACTTTGAACCCTGTCCCACACGTTTAAGTTATCCCACATTTAAAAGTATACACTATGAGTTTAAATGGTTAGAAAGAATGTAATTTCTGATATAAAATACAAGTTGACATTCTTAATAAAACTTACAGGCTTTCTAAAATATATGCAATGGAATCTAAGTATCACTGCAATGATATCCACCACCATCAATTTAAAAAATATATATGAATAAAATCTTTATTATTGCTTGATATTTTACACTGCTCCTTTTTCTCCTTGTCCCCATGTATCTTTATGTTCAAAGCCATCTGAAACAAAACTATGGACATAAATTAAAATGTCAGTTTTCTAGATTTCCTACAACCACAGGTCAATGTGTTAAATTTGACCTGAATTGAATCTACTGAATTGAATCATTATTTTATTACTACACAACTGTGAACAAATCTAACAAAGTTTGATAGGTAATTAAATAAGCAATATTTTATCAAAAATGTATCCTTTAATGAAATAGGTAAAACTGTCTTCCCCCCTTCACCAACTGGTTCATTTGTCTGGGAATAGACATTACTGCTAGAATGAAACAGGTTTAGTGAGCATCCATTTAAACTCAATTTTTCTTTTTCTTCCCCCCTTTTTTAATGTAAGCACTGAGAAAGCTTATTCACATAAACAGATGTGAATGGAAGTTCTGTTACATAGTTCTATACCTAAGTTCTCTAAACCCTGTGTTTTATCCAAAAATCACACACTGATTTATCATTACAAATAACTTTTAATGATCCATAAGCTGCCAAATTGATTAAATCCTCCTCCAATTTTGTTGAAAGCAAAGATTTGAAAACCACCAAAGTTAAAAAAGAATTTGTCATCCAATCACAATTAATCACTTTCTACGAACCATCACCAATATTTCAAATTCTCCCCTTTTTCTGCTATAGGTGAGCAATCATAGGATTGGGAATGAGTGTGAAGTATGTCTCTCTTTTATAAGGTAGAGAAGTAAGATTGTCATTGGGGATCTGGAAGCTAATTCCCTGAAAGTTATCTCCATGCCCAGGTTATCACTTAGAGAGTCTCCATGTACTTATAAAATTCATTGCTGTCAGTCGGATCCGACTCATAGCGACGCCCCCCTTGGGTTTCCAAGGTGGTATCACTACGGAAGCAGATCACCCAATCTTTCTTCCAAGGAGTGGCTGGTGGCTTTGAACTGCCAGCTCTCTGGTTAGCAGTCAAATGCCTTAGGCACTATGCCACCAGAGCTCCTAGGTACTTATAAGGGACCATATATTCTATTTTGATAGCAATTGACCAAAACCACCCAATTTTAACCAAGGCTGTGGTGGTTAAGTGTGTGTGTCAACTTGGCTGGGCCTGGTTGAGTGGCTGGGCAGCTGGATGTAGTATTCTCCATGATGAGACTGGCAATCAACTCCATGGTGGAATCTACTGTGAGTAGCTGCCTTTGGGTACGTGGTCTGCTTCCCATATATAAGAAACAGCTTTGGGAATGGTCTCCAGCTTATGGCACCTTGAACCCTGCATATAGCCATGTCATTGTTCAGCAGCCTGCCAAGCTCTTCGACCTTGGGACTTTCAATGGACTTAAATTAATGGCCTGCCATGTAGTTTGGTAACATTGGGACTGTGCCATTTTATTTTGTTAACCTTGGGCTTGTTAGCCCTAGCAGCCAGTAGCTGCCTGAGTGAAGAGATACCTCTAGCTTCAGTGGGCCGGGAGCAAGAGGCAGAGCTGAAGCCCAAGGTCGAGGGGCTTTCACACAGCCCCTAGAGCCTGGCACTTGGAACTCGGACTTCTAGCCTCTGGAACTGTAAGAGAATAAACTTCTGTTTGTTGAGGCCATCCCATTTGTGGTATATTCTTGTCAAAGTAGCACTAGGTAACCAAAACAAAGGTACTCTCTTAAAAATGTAATTTACATTTTTTGATGTTAGTCAGTTCCCCTGCTTAAAAAACTCTTTAACAATTCACAGGACACTGAAAAAGAAAAACTAACACTTTACCATGACCTCTAAGATGCTAACTCTCCCACTTCTCACTATCCTACAAACCACACTAGCCTTCCTTCCCCAAGTGCCTGGATTGCTGCCTGTGTTTCCTGCCTCAGGGCCTCTGTACTTAGTCTTCCATCTGCTCAGCACACTGTTCCTACACATCCTCCATACTTCAGCTGGAACATCACCACCTAAGAGGGGCCTCACCAGACCACTTCATTTACCTCATTATTCTCTACCACCAAAAACCAAGCTAAACTCACTGCCACCCAGTCAATAGAGACTCATAGCGACCCCCATTGCGTCTCTGAGGCTCTAAATCTATGGAAGCAGATCGCTTCATCTTTCTTCCACAGAAAGGCTGGTGAGTTTAAACCACCAAATTTTTGGTCAGCAGCTAAATGCCTTAACTACTACACCACCAGAGCTCCTTTCAGTCTCTACTATAGGAGTGTAATTCTTGATATTTCTATTATAAGCATCATTACTTCATTTACAGAAATAACTGACTCCCTCACTACACAGAGCACTGGTCTTGTTCACTGTTTTATGTCCAGCACCCAGCACAGTGCCTGATACTCAGTAGATGTTCATGAATAAAAGGAAGGGCATGCGGAAAGTAAAGTTGTGTGTGGGAGTAGAGGGATATTTCTGATAGCTTTCCATATAACCTTATACTAAAATGAAAGTAGTATTAATTATTAGAGAATATCTACCACAAATGCCAAAAAGAAGGTATAAAGTAGGTAACATTAGATATACAAAAATGCATACACAGACAGACATATACCAAGACTTCAGATGGTATCCAAAGTGGGCAGGGAGACTGAATACGCAGGCATTCACACGCATTTTTTCCTTACCTCTGTTCTTGAGACTGCTCCTCCATATCCTCTTCAGAATCACCCTATTGAAAAAGAACAAACTTTAACAGTTGTTTCAAAGGAACACAGAATGTCCAAAAGAAACAGATCTTCAAATCTTTCCCAGAGGTATGAACTTGTAAAAAACATCTACAACAGTGGCTGACACAGAGCAGGCATTCAATAAATATCTACTGAAAAGAATGACATTAGTAAAAAGCCAAAAATTGTTAAGTGATCCCTTTGACAGTGTAAATAAGTACTCTGTTTAAAAGCATGACCTAAACATACTCTCAAAATTAGTAAATCACTTCTCTTCAAAGAGCCTTAAGTTGAATAATAAATTTTCCAAATATTAAAAAAGATATATTCTATTTAGCTCAGAATCTCCTAAATGAATTTGTTATGTTCTAACATCAACATAAAAAGGCAGATAATTTTATGGCATAAATATCACACTCAAAAACTCTTCCAAAATCTTCTCCCAGACTTGCCATGGTGAAATCTGATGACATGTGAGAATAAAAAGAAAAAGTACTTCAAAGTGATCCATAAGAGCAGATCAATTAAATACTGTATTTGTGATCTGCCTGACAGACACGCTTTCAAGTCAGATGACATGTTACTCTTTCTTAAAGCTCACCACCATTGACTTCAGGGATACTAAATCTTCCTGTTTCTCCAGCTCCTCCTTAGTATTACTGCCTGGCTGCCCTTCTCCTCCCATCTGTCACTGCCACTATCCTCCTGAGCTCAGCCATCAGCTCTCCTCAGCCGCCTCTATACCAATTCCCTCAGAAAATTAACCCAGTTATAACCATGAGCCCCAATTTCTCACTCAATCACACCTGCACATACATGATAGAAATACCTCTACTTCCAGACGAGCAAAGACTCATGTATGTGGTTTTGTTCAGCACAGCACCAAGACCAATGATCAGCACACAGGAGGTGCTCCACAATACTTGCAGGATGTTACCTTACCATTCCAACCCTATTTCCAGGTGCCTCCAGGATATATGCACTTCACCTCACCTTCAGCTTCCCAGAAAAAATGACATGGACACCACACTTACCAACTTCAGTGGTCACCGACAACTGGCTTCTGTTTTAACCTATCAAGGACACTCTCCTTGACCCCGAAGCAAACCTCAGGGTCACCTAGCACTGCTCTCCTCCTTTCACCTCCAACCACAGGGGCCTACCCAACTCAACTGAAACACAGTTCAGCCCTGTCCTTTCTCCTCCATCCCTCTTGCCAGCAAATAGCCCACACATTCATGTCCAAGGCCTCACTTACCAAGATAGACTTTCAGGGCTTTCACTGTGATTTCAGATTTCCCTGCCTTCATCCAACAGTGCTCCAGTGACACAGTGGTTAAAAATGCATTTGGATGTGAACCAGAAGGTCAACGGTTTGAATCTACCAGCTGCTCTACAGGAGATAGATGAGGCAATCTGCTTCCATAAAGATTTACAGCCTTGCAAACCCAACGGAGCAGTTTACTCTGTTCTAAAGGGTCACTATGAGTAGATTTTGGGTTTTGCCTTCAACCATCCTGCACATCACTGCAAGAACAATCTTCCTCGACATTAATCATTATTTACCTCAAACGTAAGAAAAGACCTAGCATTCAAAGACATTGTGTTAATTCTTGCTCAAGAGCCAAAGCTAACTGCTAGTCAGATATGCTCCAAGCTCCTTCATTTAACGTTGGACATCGGCCTTGACACACTCGTCTCCAACCTCCACGACACTTCAGCAGGCGTGCCCAGGCTCCAATTTAAAACATCAGCACAAAAACACTGAATTGCCTGCCATGTGAGAGGCTCTGGGCTAGGCTCCAGTCACATGTTTGCTAATTCGATCTCTAAGCTCCCCATCCTCCTCTAAGCCTTAACTGGCCCCTCTAATACACACATCTCCTTATCTTTCAAGTCCTACATTTCAGCACTTGATTGTTATCTCAGGGCATTACTGGACTTATCTCAATAACACCAAGCTCTCAAAGGACAGAAACCAAATCCTGTCATTCCCCTACCCTTCAACCCTCTCTTGGCAGTGCCTCCCGGCCCTTGCACTGGATGTTCTAACTCTGGTCTTTCAAGGATCGACACATGTATCACCTTCTCAGAACCCTACTTTGACCATACAATTTAAAACTACAACTCCCATCACCATCACACCTCTAAAATTCTCCTCTACTCTGCCACTCTAGCAAGTAACACATTCTAACAGATTAAATAACTTATAGCTTATAGCATTCCTTGTTTATTATCTACATGCCTCCTTTAGATTGTAAGCTCCACAAGGGTAAGGATTTTTCTGGGGTTTTTTCACCATAATATTCCTAAAACAGTGTTTGGCCCGTAGTAGATGCTCAATTAATACCTGCAAAGCTAAGTACAGTGTAACTGTTTCTTAAATATCCTCTTTAAAGAGGATATGACTACATTTGATAACTTCATTAAGCATTTTTTCTAAATCAAAACAGAACATTAAATTATTTCCCTCTGATGTGAGGACTTTATCACCACAAAACCTCTCTTCCAGTCAGACTGTGCTATAACTCAGACAATAACATACTGGTTAAAGGCATGGGCTCTAGAGCTTGATACTTCCTGGGTTCAAATCCCACCAGTGTAACTTTCTTATTAACCTGAGCAAGTTATTTAACCTTTCTGTGGCTTAATGTCTTTATCTTGAGAATCATGTCATAACACTTCATAGTGGTTTTTAGAGTATTAACATGACTTAATACTCATAACACACTTAGAACAATGCAGGTAGTGCTCAACTTGCATTTTTTTTATGCTGATAGTAGAAGATAACACCACAAATAAATCTCTGTGACAAAAAGATTTCCAAATACTAGTCAATGATTCACGGACTGGAACAAGGTGCTATTACATAACCCCAAATCAGAACACTCACTAATGTCAAGTCATTTCCAACTCACAGCGACCCCTCCTTGGGTTTCCGAGATGGTATCACTACAGAAGTAGATTGTCCAGTTTTCCTTCTGTAGAGCGGCTAGTGGGTTTGAACTGCCAGCCTTCTATTCTAGTTAGCAAATGCCTTAGGCACTACGCCACCAGAGCTCCCATTACATATAACACAGGTAATTACATAACACAGTACATGAGATAATAAAAAAAGAACTCAGATGCTCAGCGTACCATTTCCTGTTTCACTTTCTACCAATTTCCGTTATCTACACTCACAGGGTGTAGAAGGGGGAAAGGCATGAGGTTTTTAAAGGCAGAGACTATCTTATTCACTGCTGTATCCTAAGGCCTAACTGGGCCAGGCTCATGGTAGGTATTTGCTAAAAGAAGAAACACGGCCAGTAGAGCACCAAGTCTACTTTTCCCAGACCTGAATTAATACTTCTACATCAGGTGGCAGCTCTCTGTACTCAGCCCCAATGTCTGTATCCAAATCTGCTAACCAGGAGACATGAGGATCATTCATGGCTTTTCAGCAAAGTCTGAATGGACTAAGAATATGAATTCTAGGTTACTCTTCTTACTGCTAGGATTTTTTTTTAATGTGATTATTAAACAATAGAAAATCGAGCCTTAAAACATTTCATCTGTAAAGTACTTCTTCAGACGTTGCCAACCTCATAAACAGGGAAATGGGCAGCACATTTAGGCAACTGCCTTTCCTCTACTAAGACAACTTTGTGAGCTAACTACTCAAAGCCTTCTATACGCAGAACACAGTGGTCACAACGGGGCCACCAAGTCTTAGAATCTCACACACTCTGAATGAGAACTCAGTTCGGACAAATAAGACACACAAAAAACAAGGGAGAGAAAATCCAAATACTCAAGACACTATGAGAAACTCAAAGAGGGAGAAACGATGACAATGCTACTGCCAAGTCAGGAGTTGGAAACTGGTCTGAACTGCACAACAGCAGAGTGACAACATTCCTTCTTTCACTCAACAGATACACACTAGGCCTGCTCAACCAAAGGCCAGGCTGGCGTGAGTGTCCCAGAGGACTAAACAGAGCTACAGAAGAGGGTTAGGCTACAGAAGTCCCTGAAGACCAAGCAGGTCAAGTGGATGTCACTTTGGATAACAGGGACTTGTAGAAGGTTTAGACTTTGAAGGTGAGGGAAGAAGGTGCAAGACACAAAATCTTGAAAGTGAAAACATTTATCTGGTTTCTAACCATGAGCACTATGGATTCAGTGTCTTGAAATGTGGTAGTTGTAGTCAGAGAAGAGGAAAAAAATCTGTAAATCTACAAATAAAATCACTGACATGTTTTTTTAATTCCTTCCTATCATTATCACCTTGGAGCACCTGGGTGGTACAAATGATTAGCAAGCTCAGCTTACTGTAAGGCTGGAAGTTTTAGTACACTCAGAGGTGTCTCAGAAGAAAGGACTGGCAATCTAGCTCCAAAAAATCAGTCACTGAAAACCCCAGGGAGCACAGCTCTGCTGTGAAACACATTAATTGCCATGAGTCAGAAACGACTCCATAGCAACTGTTTTGGGTTTTTTGCATCATTATCATCAAGCATAAATACAGTTTTCATGTTCCTGCACCAAAATATTTTACAACATAACAGTATGTATCAAAAAGATATGAATCATATACCTTATCTACATAACTGTAAAGCACATAATACTACTGCGGTACTGGCACTGTGTGTGTCAGCCCCTTCAACGCAGGAAAGCTATTCCATGCTCTCCTACAATGAAGTTCAGGGTTCAGTTGAGATACCGCACAAATAACAGGTAGCATGCAGTAAGTCACTGCTAAATTCAGGGCACTTAATCCTCACAAGGGAGCTCTGGTAGCGTAGTGCCTAAGGCACCTGACTGCTTATCAGAAGGCTGGCGGTTCAAACCCACCAGCCACTCCTCGGAAGGAAGATGGGGCAATCTACTTCCGTAGTGATACTGCCTCGGAAACCCAAAGAGGGGCCACTATGAGCCGGGTCTGACTCGATGGCACATAACAACAACAACAATCCTCACAAAATCCTCTGAGGTTGGCAGTACTATTACCCTCATTCTGCAGATGAGGAAACTGAGGAAAGAGAGGTAAACTAACAGAACTAAAAAGGGAAACCAGTGTCAACTTCAGTTAGGAGTCAAATCTTGGAGCTCTGGTGGTGAAGTGCCTAAGGCATTTGACTTCTAACCAGAAGGCTGGAGGTTCAAACCCGCCAGCTACTCCTCAGAAGGAAGACTGGGCAATCTAATTCCTTAGAGATACCACCTCAGAAACCTAAGGAGGGGTCACTATGAGTTGGATCCAACTTAAAGGCAGTGAGTTTGGGTTTTTTTTGGTTTTAGGAATCAAATCTACTCAGTCTAGCCAGAGGGCCTGGCAGTTTATAACAATTCAATTGTTTTATTTGGTTTTACTAATGATCCAAGTTCTTGATCAGTACTTAAAAGACAATAAATTGATTCCAATTCATAGAGACCCCACGTGTGTCAAAGTAGAACTGTGCTCCATAGGGTTTGCAATGGTTGATTTTTCAAAGTAGATCACCAGGCCTTTCTTTTGAGTTGCCTGAGTGGACTCAAACCACCAGCTTTTCGGTTAGCAGTTAAGTATGTTAACTGTTTGCACCACCCACTCTCCCTTCATCACTGAAGAGACTCATTTAAAAAATAAATTTAAAAAGACCCAATACAACAGAAAACATTTCCAAAATAATTTCACTGCTGCCAAGTCAACTGACTCACAGTGACCCCTTCTTGGGTTTCCAAGGTGTTATCCCTACAGAAGTAGATTGCCCAAGGCTTGAACCGCCAGCTTTCTGGTTAGCAGTCAAATGCCTTAAGTCACTACGCCACCAGAGCTCCTGTATAATTAATATTAGCAAATACATTAGTATTCTTTGTTTAATGCCTATCTTCTTAAGTGCCTATTTCACCTACCATTGGCAAACCTTAGTCCATGTATAAGGCTTCCTGAAAGAAATTAACCTATGGCTAATTAAAAAGAAAACCCCCGAATTTAAACAATCTCTATAAATATTCTCTTTTCAACAAACCCTGCATGACACACATGAGGGAACTCTTTCTGAAAAATTTCAAAACACTTTGAAAAGAATTCCTTAAAAATGACTTTCCTCAGAACTCTCTGCAACTTGTACTATGTATTATATAATCTCTCCTCCAACCCAGATGTCTGCAGGTTAAAGAGCCTAGAAAAGGTACAGAGATTAAGCATGTAAAAAATTATTTTGAACACCAGTTTCACTTTCATTATAGCTTTGATTAAAGTAACTTAGGTATAAATGCCTCTATGGTGAATATTCCAGAAAGACACCTTCAAAATTCTTTTTTACCCAAACAAACCATATGATACATATATAAACAAAGCAAAATCAGAAATTAAGAATTCTAAATTTTGAGCCAATAAATAAAATAATTTAATCATATCACAGGCCTTGACATTTTCATCTCTAAGCACAGTGGCTAAATCAACTGCTGTAACTAATGAGAGTCTGTAATTTACTTTCCTTTTAGTCTGAGTTGGTTTCCAACACTAACCAGTAAGAGGTGGAAGGTACAATTGAGTAAAAATGCAAATACATACAGACATATACCAGTGGTTCTCAACTAGGATAGTTTTACCCAGCAGGGACATTTGGTAATGACTGGAAACACTTTTGGCTGTCACACGGATGGGGGGGATGGGATGAGATGAAAGCCCACTGGTATGGTATCTAGAGGGTAGTGGCCATGGATGCTGCTAAACATCTTGCAAAGCAAAGACAGCTCCCACAACACAGAAACACAAAATTATCCAGCCCAAAATGTCACTAGCTCTTGAACAACCCTGATATACACATATACAACCGTAAGTAAATACATCAAATTTCAAGTGTGGTTATCTCAGTAGGATTATAAATTATTATTATTTTCTTCACTGTAGCCTCCTGCATTCTCCAAATCTTCTACAACACACATGCATTATTTATAATCAGGAAAAAAATTCATTTTTTGGGAATAAACTTTTGAGAAAGGGACATCCTGATGGGGTCTTTTCTCAAAGGACTGGTCTTACTCAGCCTCTGGCCTTCAAGAAAGGTCCAAAGAAACTTCCCTCTAAAATCACCTCTCCACCTTGAAGCTGTTATTCATTAGCACGGCTAAAATGAATATTCCAAATATCTCAAAATCAGCATTCTAAAGGCTTCACAGAAAGAAAACTGAAAGGTAAAATTGCCCAGCGTCTCTAAAGTTATAGCTAGACATCCTGCTTTTCTAAATGGCCACAAGAGACGATGTAGAATTAAGTGCTGCCACTAAAGTGGGGAAGAAATGAGCATCTTAAAAAAAAATCACCACCCACAAGCTGAATATATTATATATTAGTGCAAAAAAACACACTTTGATCACTGATGAAAAACTGTCAATGATATTATATTCCAATGTGTACATGTGCAATGAGAATTTCTCATAAAAGTTAAACCTTAAAATAAACATGAAAGCTTTGTAGCACTGCATCTGCTATAGCAGCAAACCCTATACAATGCGACAGATTTCCAATAAAATGTTAGCAATTATTTTTCCACAAGCAATCATTATACCATCATATATAAATAGGGAGAAAAAAAAACCTGAAATTCAAGTTCTTAAGAGGGTGTATTCTAACACAAATTAAAGTCACTCAGGGGAAAAAATCCAAAATCACAATCCTTTAAAGTCACATCTTCATCCCAAAGCTACTTAACGCTAATGGAAAGTACCACTCACTAACATTTATGAAATCAATATTCCTGTTGTCCTAAACCTTCCACCCCGCAGTACCATCCACACTCTACTAGCTCATTAAAGAGAGCAGTGTACACGTCCCTCGCCCACCCAGGACCACGCGCCAGCCAAATAACCCGCCCTTCCCCTCCGCACGGCAGCCACTGGCCACGGCCCTGCTGAGGTGGCTTGGGCTCCCACCCCTGAACTTGGGGCCGGCGTGACTCACGCCTTGTCACATGGCGCGGGAGGAGGCCAGGAAGGCCACCGTTGCCAGGTGTTAGGGCTTGGCCCGACCGTTTATTTGCCTTGCAAAGTGGCCTAAGCGCTGGTGCCGCTGGTGGCCGGCGGCCTCTCGCCTCTCTTCCCTCACACACCCACACCCGTCCTGTCATCCGTTCGTCCTCACCTGAGTGGGCAGTAGGAGTTCCCCTTCTTCTGCCTGCCACAGCTCCACCACATTCGGCAAGGGCTCAATCGCTGCACAAACACCAAAAAGGGCACTGCATTTTTAACACACAGAAAAGAAATGCTTCCTGTCCCACTCTCGTCCCCTCCATTCCACCCACCTCACCAAAACAAATCCCATTTTCCTTCTAAACATAAAGGCCAGGAGGCCAGGGAAGGAGCGAGACAAGGATGAAAAACACAATGGACTAGAGTTAAGTTGGCGGCCCCTCTGTCAGAAAGGCGAGAGAGCGTGTCTTTGCGCTACGCCTACGGTTGGGTCAGGGATGATCTTGCTGAGGAAGGGGCAACCGCCCCCCGGGCATTCACTGCTCCGCCGCCCGGAGCACTGTGGGCGGACGTGTGTGAGTATGGTTACGGAGCAGCCAGGCTCAGAGAACAAAGCTTCAGGAAGCCGGGACGGCGAGCGCAGCGCCCGGGCCGCGGCGGAGAACCAAAGCGCGCCACACAAAGCGGGGGCTGTGCCCGGGGCCAGCGCACAAAGGGTCCCGGACGCGCGCGGCTAGCGGTCTGTTTGGTTATCCCCTACCCTCGCGAGTTTCTCACTCTCTGTGTGTATCGGGGGGCGAGGAGATACAAGGAGGTAACGTGGTTAGGAAATGTTATCAACCAAAAATTTCAACAGCTTCCTTTCCTCCTGCTGCCCCTTTCCCGTTCCTCCCCTCGCCCGCTTATAGATTTCAGCAGTTCCCTAAAAGAAAGAACGGGGGGGAGGGGGGGAGAGAACGCCAGCAAAGCGGCGCAAGGCTGACCTTGTCCCTGAGCCCCTCCCGGGCGACAGCAGGGAAGAAGGACCTGGAAGACGCCTAGAAGGAGGTTCACGGCCGCGGCACTACGGCAGTAACAGCTGGGCTGCGGGCGTCGGAGCCCCGCCATGCTGGTGCTCGTGCTCCTCTCGAGTGCTCCCAGCGCTAGCCACTCGCTCGCTGGCGCCT